GAGCCGCGGGCTGGGCCCTGAGCGCCGCGCGGGCCCGGTGCCCGCCGCCTGCCGCCGCGCCATGGCGGAGACCAAGATCATCTACCACATGGACGAGGAGGAGACGCCGTACCTGGTCAAACTGCCCGTGGCCCCGGAGCGCGTCACGTTGGCCGACTTCAAGAACGTGCTCAGCAACCGGCCGGTGCACGCCTACAAATTCTTTTTCAAGTCCATGGACCAGGACTTCGGGTCAGTGGGTGCACTGGACTGTGCGGGCCGGGCTGTCCTTCCGCACGCGCGGGCTGGGGAGGACCAGGGCCTGGTGCCCGCCTGTGGGCGTGCTCATGTGTCTGCGCACCTGTCTGTGTCGGCAGGGCCTTGGGGGGGCCTGGGCCTGTGAGGGTGCACAGTAAGCTCCGAGCCTGGACCTGCCTCCCGCCTGTGTGCACTGGTCTGAGCGGTCTGGGTTTCTTGTGAACCTTGGAGGCCTTGCGGATAGCTGGCGTGAAGGGTAGATCCACCTGCCTGGCCCTGGGCTGGCCATCGGCCCTGACATCTGGATCAGAGGTCTGAGAGCTGTGGACACGGGATTTGAGGGTTCTGGCTGCACCTGTAGGATCTGGGCCCTGTGTGCCCAGTGTAAGTTTCTAGAGCCACGCAGGGAACCATCTTGACCAAAAGTCTCATCTTGACACCTGTCGGGGCCTAGAGTCAGCTGCCTATTTCTTATGGAGAGTGTGCATTGAGTGGCCCACCTGACCAGGACAGGTGGTCTGTAGTGTGTGTAGTTTATGGGACTAGGGCAGGGTCAGGGATAAGGTGGACATAGTGGAAGTCCGAGCAGGGCTCAGCCACCCAAGAGATCTCCTGGTAGGAATGGGAGAATAGGCAGGGCAGCACAGAAACCTGTCAACTGGGATCTGCACAAGTTTCTTGGAGTTCAAAACAGGCTCCTCCCAGCCCTTCCTCCAAAGCCTGAAAACCGAAGGTGGCCGAGATTGGCTAGGGACGTTGGCTCACCCACTCTTGCCCAGGGTTCCTGACTTGGAAGGCGGGTGTAGCTCGGCCACACAGCCCTTGCCTTCCCTGAGGAGCCTGGCCTTCTGCTGACTCTCAGCTCCTGGGTCTGTGTCCCTGTGGTGACTGTCCCAGGTCAGGGGACTTCCCTCTTGCACTTGTCTGGGCCCCTGGGACTGTGCCCACACAGACTCCAGTAACCCGAGTCCCCAGCTCGGCAGTGTTGCAAGGGGGGCATGCAGAGGCCCCGTTGGTAGAGCAGGTGTGCCCTGGCTGCCTGCAGACCAACCCAAGTCCTTGTGTGCGGCGACCTCCAGGGACTTTGACATTGAGGCCGTTTCCTGGACGTTGGCTTGCACAGGCCTTGGGCAGGCCCAGGTCAGACCAATCACAGGCCGCAGTGGTTCTCAGGGGGTCCTGAGCGACTCAGAACTACTGGAAGCTCTGCCCCCCTCCCTGTTACCAGGGAGAAGCCAAAGGGTAGGGTGTAGCCTTGGCAGTCCCTGAAGGCTGATCCCCCCCTCCCACCACTGTCTTTCTTGCCTGCTCAGGTAGGAGCTCTGTCTGAGATGGGGGGTGCCAGCTGTACTTCCATCTGCTGGATGACCTAAGGCAGCTAGTAAACCTCTCTGGGCCTGGGTTTCTTTGACTGTGAGAACTAGGTAAATGGATTTCCGCCCCCCTAAAGTCACATTGCACTTTGCCATGGATAGAAGCTATCATAGATAGCTGCTGTAGATTGAAAGGCATAGCATGAAGCCCCCAGGCTGCCACCCTTGAGCTGGCTCTAAGAGAGCCTTGCCAATATTGCTGTGCCCGCCCCCACCCCCAGGCTATAGAGATCATCCAGGGTCAGGAGACAGCCACCTCACCCCCGGCAGCCACCCATTGTGGAGGTGGGAAGGGTCAAGTGTACTGACCCAGAAGTGGGGTGGGCAGCCCTAGAGCTGGAAGCAGATATTATTCTTAGGTTGACTGTATGGGGAGACAAGCTTGGGACTAGCTGGGGTGTAAGGGAAGGAGGTGGTCAGGCCTTCCCTAGGGAGAGTGGGTACAGGAGTGGGGGGAACTTGGATGTGAAGGTACCCCCAGGCTGATGGGAGGAAGGCTGGGAGGCAGACAGGGCCACTGTGGAGCCTCTGTGGGGATGTGGGGCCTGAGCTAAGATGGAAGAGTGAAGAGGAGACAGACGGGTACAGTGGACAAGCAGGGTGGAGCTCACCTTGTTCCCTCCCTAGATCCTTGGCTGTCAGTCTGGTGGTCTCATCTCAGAGACCCAGGGGAACCACCACACCCACCCCAACTTCTCCCTTCCCTCTCCTAAAGTCCCACCTACAGCACTTTTCTATTGGGATGGATCTGTAATACGCACACTTTAATATAAATCATAATTTGGGGCTCACTCTGGACATGAAGTGGATGTGGCTCTAGGTTGGGAAAAGGGAGGGCGGATTGAGCTGAATGGGGATGGTGGCCCCAGTTTGGGGGTGAGAGGTGTGGCCTCAGTTTGGGGGTTAGTTCCAACCTATGAGGAATGAAGGGCTCGTCCCCACTCCCCAAATGTATCACTGGCCAACTCAGTGCAGCGCTGTACCCTTCCCGTATACGAACAGCCAGCACTTTCCATGTTGAGTCCTCCTTATTCTGAACTAAGGCCCTAAAAAGTTGGATGGGGTATAGGGGGCAGAGGCAAGACTGAGGAGGGGGCTCTGGGTTTGTGGCAGCCTGGCCTGGGAGTTCTGGGCCAACTTTCAGGTTTCATAAGTGTTGGGTACAGGGAGGGTGTTGACTATCACAGGAGTGTATGGTTGATGCCAGGTCAGCTGGACTTGGCACTGGGCTTGTCTGCCGGGTGCTGGCCCTAGCACCTGTGTATCAGAGGGACGGTGACCCAGGCTGGGGGCAGGTGTCAGATGGCACCCTGTGTCCATGTGGAGGGTTCTGGGCAGGGTCAAATGCTTGTTTGGCCCAGACTCTGCTGTCTGTCCAGCACCTGGTCAGGGACAACTCCAGCCTCTGGGAGCAGCTCCTGGAATAGAATGGGGTTCCCAAGTTCCCCTAGAATATTTGGGACCTGGGGGACATCCCCACCGCATTCTATGCTGGTTCTGCTATGTCCTGCTCTGTGGCGGGCAGGGTGTAAACCATGGGGTGGGCTCCTCTAGCCCTGGGTGGGCTCTCCCACCTGGGAGGACTGGCTAGGTGGTGCTGTGTCCCTTGGGAGCCAGGCAGCTGCCTCCCTTGTCTCTGAGAGCAGATTCCTCACCCAGGTTGGTCTGTGGGGGTGTTGGGTGGGTCCCACAGCCACAAGTTCAAGCCACCCACCCACAAGTTCGAGGTTAACTGGGAACTTGCCAAGAATCCTGGGGTGGGGACCAAATACTGAGGCTAGGTGCCCCCTAGGTGGGTGCCCCAAGTGTTGATAGAAGCTAGGCTCCTGGGGCTGCTGCCCTAACCCAGTAAGCCCTAGTCTGTGAGGCTGCCAGGACTCATACCCTCACATTGGGCACAGCCAACACCACTAACCCCTCAGAGGAGTAGAGGGCTGCAGGGGCTCAGCACCAGCTCTTCTGTGTGGGTGGGGTGGGAGCAGGGCAGGATTGGCCCATTGGGATCTGGGCTGGCCCAGTCACCTCCCTTCCTGCTCCTCCAGCCTGGCTGGACCCAAGGCCTGTGGTTCCTCCAGTCCTGACCTCAGGTTGGAGGGTGAGCCCAGGGCAGGAGGCCCTGGGAGGGTAAGTGGGGGGACACAGAGTCCTTGAGCCACCTCAGGTGAATGGATAACCTCTGGAAACTCACGCCTCCCGGTGCTGCAGGCGGGGAGCTTCCCTGAGCTGGGTTTCTTCAACAAGATGGAGCAGGAGGAGTTCTCCTGGGCCCAGGCCTCCTGTGGGTGACTCAGAGGGCTGGGGTGTGGCAGGGAGGGGCCACCACCTGGCTCACCTTGGGGTGGCATGTTGGGTGCTGAGACAGGAACAAAGTCCTTCTGGGGTCTCTGCTGTGGGTATTCAGAGAGGGTGCCCTTATCCCAGTACTTCCCAAGGGAAAGTCCCACTGGCTCCCTGTCCATGACCTACAGCCAGAGGCCTCAGGTTTTTCTCTGAGCCAGCCCACATTCCATGGCCCTCTCGACCCAGAGGCTGGGGCAGCCTGGCCCAGCGGGTTGGGTGTCAATAGGAGTTGGAGTGTTTTGTGAGAATGTCCCTCTGCCCACTGAGGGGTCTGTTATTGGTGAATACGTGTTAGTCCAGGGGAGGTATTGAGGAGAGATGATTTAGGGTCTCTCCCGGTGGGTACGGTCACCAGGGGCTTGTCCCCCTTGGCGGGTGCCAGGGGCAGGCAGAGCAGGGGCTGCCCTGCAGCTGCATCCTGCAGCCTGAGGCCTGTTTCCTGCCAGGTGTGGATCCAGGCCTTGCCGGGCTCCGGCTCCCATTTCTCTGCTGGGGCCAAGTTTTGGGCGTGGAAAATCCTGTCTGCTGGGCAGCAACTCCAGGAGGGCAGAGCATTCAGGCACCTCCTGGCCACCCTGCCCCTGCCCCCAGCTCCTAAGGAGGCCATCATATGGATCATTTGGGCCCCAGATCCCAGCCCCAACCCTCTGACTGGGTAGAGCCAGCTGCTGCCCTCACCCTTGTGGACCCTGATGCCTGACTTCCTGTCCACCCTCCTCCTAAGACCTGTGGGTCATCTGGTCTCCTTCCTCTGAGCGTCACACTGGCCCTTTGCACTTTACCTAAGTCTGTATGGAAAGTAGGGGGAATGTGGCTACAGGGTATAGTGGGGTCTCCAGCCTCTCTGTGAATGAGCCATGCTCACTGTATCCGCTGCTGGCTTCCATGCCATGAGTTGGGGCTGTTCCAGAGGGGGTCACGTCTGTCTCCCAGGTGGGCACGCCAGGAGGGTGGCAAAATGCCATAGAAGTGTTCATAGTATGCATGCATGCAGGTGTGGATGCGTGTATGCATGTGTGTGTCAGTGTGGGTAGCGTGCACTTACACATGCATGTGCTTGCGTTCTTGTTGGGGGGGGGTGTATAGGAGGTAAGAGGAAATAGTTTGATAGTAGCATCCAGAGATTGATAGAAGTGAAGACAGAGGGCAGGAATGAGTCCTGGGCACCTAAAAATGTGGAGTTGCTGGTCCTGAGGTGATGGGAGTGGGGAGAAGGGAACAGGCATAGCTGTAACTGAGGAAGAACTAGAGATGTCCTTGATGAGACTGGGCTACAAGTCTGGTCTGACTAAGGCCCCAGGGGAGGCACCTAGGCTTCCAGGCCAGGGCTGGCCAGGGCTGTGCACGTGGTGTGTGGTCAGATAAGCAGGGTTGGGGCCTGGACCCGTGTAGATGGAGTGGCAAGGCCAGGGGCCAAGGCCGTCCCTGCAATGTGTGTTTGGTGTTCACTGTCTGTCAACAGTTCTCTGACCTGAGGCAGGGACCTGGGGGAGGTGAGCCCGAGGTGGCCAGGAGGCTGACCCTAGAGCTGTGCAGGAGCCCTAGGGTGGCCCTCTGTGGTGCTGGGGAGTGGGAGAGGCAGGTTTGGACCCCAAGAAGAGGGTGTCGGGCCTGCAGAGTGTGACCTAGGGAGTATGGCTGAGCTTCCTGGGGGCTGGTGGCGCAGAGGGTGTGGAAGGTGCTGTAGGCATGGGTGGGCATCTGTGTCTCTCTCGAGCCTCTCAAGGCAGAGACAGCAGAGCTTGCTGGGTGATGAAGTAGGGGTTGAGTCTTTTGAACCCATCAGTGGGAAGACTGTCATTCTGGTGGGAAGTGGGACATCCTGCCCATGACCTTTCTTCCCCAGGGTGGTGAAAGAGGAGATCTCAGATGACAATGCCAGGCTGCCCTGCTTCAATGGCCGAGTGGTCTCCTGGGTGAGTCTGGGGTGGCCCCCACCCACCTGTTCCGCATAGGAATGCCTCATGGGAGTAGGGTTACTCACTGTGGGGGACGGACCCCACAGGCACAGGACTTGGGGTAATTGAGGCCTGTACCAGGGGGTCTCACCTGGGGATGATCTGGAGGTGAAGGGTAGGGTGGTCTGAGGCAGGGGGCAGAGTCCCAGGTGAGTAGGAGTGTTCTGGGGAAGGGAAGGTGGTCTGGGAGCTGATAGGAATCTCTAAGCACCCCTTCTTTTGCAGCTGGTCCTGGCTGAGGGCGCACACTCAGATGCGGGGTCTCAGGGCACGGATAGCCACACAGACCTGCCCCCACCTCTCGAGCGGACGGGGGGCATTGGGGATTCCCGGCCCCCCTCCTTCCAGTAAGCACTCCTGTGGTACTCCGAGGGCCTGAGGGCCTGTTGAATTACAGAAAGGCGGCCTATGGTGACAGGGTGGCTGAGGAGAGTGTGGCCGAGGGGGAGGGTGGCAGAGGGGGAGGGGGACAGAGGGGAGGGCGGCTGAGGGGGAGGGCGGCAGAGGGGAGGGTGGCTTAAGGGGAGGGTGATCTTGGGGAGGGTGGCGGCCGGGGGGAGGGCAGCCAAGGAAAGGGCAATCTTGGGGAGGGCGGCCAGGGGGAGGACAGCCGAGGAGAGGGTAGCAGGCAGTTGGAGCTTCACCCTGTAGTGCTGGTGGTGCGGCGAGAGTCCCTAAAGTAGAGGAGGGGCTGAGGGCAGGCACAGTGGCCCAGGTGTTGGCACTGGGCAGTGACACGCGTTTCTCATCGGCACAGCCCAAATGTGGCCAGCAGCCGAGACGGGATGGACAACGAGACTGGCACCGAGTCCATGATCAGCCACCGGCGGGAGCGAGCCCGACGCCGGAACCGTGAGGGCCGCGAGGACGGTAGCGTGGCTGCCGCCTTCCACCCCCAAACCCTAAACCTCATTCCAAGCACACACACACACCCTCCCTGGTACCCTCCATGGAGTGCCTTTACTGCTCCATCTCCTAGAACAGTGGTCCTGGCGCCCCAGGTCGAGGCCTCAGGCCTAACTTCCCAGGACCCCCACATGACATGCCCCCCTCCCCAGCCTCTGCAGCTTCCCAGATCCCTAGAGAACAGGAGCTCAGTGATTCTGTAACCTCCAGGGACCCCCTTGACAACTCCCCCTGCCTTCCCCACAGCCTCCCGGACCAACGGGCACCCGAGGGGCGAGCGGCGACGGGACTTGGGCCTGCCCCACGAGAGCGCGTCCACTGTGATGAGCAGCGAGCTGGAGTCCAGCAGCTTCATTGATTCTGACGAGGAGGACACCAGCCGGTGAGCGGCCGTGTGGGGACCATGTTACCTGCCTGGGCGTGCTGAGGGTCAGTGCAGGTGTGCTGAGGTATGCATGCGTGCATGAGTGGCGTGAGCATATGTGTGTGTGCCTGTGCACATCTGTCTGTGTCTCTGTATACATGTGACCAGGCATGAATGGGCTTACAATAGAACACAGATCCGTGTGTGTGTGTGTGTGTTTTAAATGTTCTAGGCTCAACACTGTGTGCAGATAGGGAGCTGAACTTTATAAGCAAACTCAACTCTGGTCCACCCATTAGGGAGAGGGTGGGTCCAAGCTCCTAACCCCTACTTATGCAGCTCCTCTCTCAGGGAGAGCTCCTCACCTGCACCTTCTCCAGCCATTGTCCTCATTTGTCTGGGAGGAGGGGACAACACATTAGTCCCTCCCCTGATCGGGGTTCATACCTGACCCCCATGCCTTCCCAGGCTGAGCAGCTCCACGGAGCAGAGCACCTCCTCTCGGCTGATCCGCAAGCACAAACGGCGGCGCCGGCGGCAGCGTATGCGACAGACAGACCGAGTACGTGCCTGGGGATGGGGTGACAGGAGAGCGGGCCTGGGGGCTGGGACCTGGGGTCAGCACCCCTCACCTTGCCCCCATCCCTCCAGGCCTCATCTTTCAGCAGCATCACGGACTCGACCATGTCGCTGAACATCATTACTGTCACGCTCAACATGGGTGAGGGCTTCAGGGGCACCGTCCTGCTTTCTTGCCCACCCTGATTGCGGCCCCGCCCATCCACCACCTGTCCACTCACAGCCTCACCCTCCCTCCGCCTGACCTGCTCCCACACAGAGAGGCACCACTTCCTGGGCATCAGCATCGTGGGCCAGAGCAATGACCGCGGGGACGGTGGCATCTACATCGGCTCCATCATGAAGGGAGGGGCCGTGGCTGCCGACGGCCGTATCGAGCCTGGTGACATGCTGCTGCAGGTGCGGGGCCCGGTGTCCACTCAGTTGCTGACCCGAACCCTCACCAGCCCCCTAGTTCCCGCTGCTGTCACTGACTCTGGTCCCTGGCCCCACCCTACCCCAGGTGAACGATGTCAACTTCGAGAACATGACCAATGACGACGCAGTCCGGGTGCTTCGGGAGATCGTGTCACAGACGGGGTGAGGCCTACAGAAGTGGGGGGCTGGCCTTGGGACCTCACAATTTACGTGACTCACTCCAACCACCCCACAGGCCCATCAGCCTCACAGTGGCCAAGTGCTGGGACCCAACCCCCCGGAGTTACTTCACCATCCCAAGGGGTGAGTGACCCTGAGAAGGGCGGTGGTGGGGGGGGGCAGGGAAGCACCTGGCCCAGCCTGAAGGTCTGTCTTCTCTGTGCCCTGTGTTCCACCCTCTGTTTTCCTGCCTGTCATCTGTCGTCCATGGCTCTCAGCTGACCCGGTGCGGCCCATCGACCCAGCTGCCTGGCTGTCCCACACGGCGGCACTGACTGGCGCCCTGCCCCGCTATGGTACGAGCCCCTGCTCCAGCGCCGTCACGCGCACCAGCTCCTCCTCACTAACCAGCTCTGTGCCTGGCGCTCCGCGTAAGTGGTAGCTTTGGGCCCCACCTGGGCCCTGGGCACACGCACTCACACCATGGCACAGCACACCAGACCTGCTCCAATGCTCTGCATGGGGGCCAGTCCTGACGAGGGACCAGGATGCTCCCGGATCACCCCCTCTCCTCGTGGACACGCGGGGTACTGGCCTGACACACCTATCCCTGCAGACTCTCACAGAGCGCACACAGACACAGTGTTCACACCTGTGTCTGCCTCCTGTATTCTACAGACATCCTCATCTTCTCTCCCCACTTATCCCCACCGGCCCCCACCTGCCTCTCTCCACCCCGTGAACCCCCTACAGCCCTCTATATACGTCACACCCCTGTACCCCTATGCCCTAGCACTTTTCATACCCTCTCATGCCTCCCCTCGCCCCATCACCTCCTCATGTCTCCACTCCCTACACCCCCCCCTTATGTCTCTGTTCACATCTTGTGCCCCCTGAACTCCATTCATCCCCTGCACCCTCTCATGTCTCTATAGTCACCCACTGTACTCCTCCATTCCTCCATTCACCCTGTGCTCTTGCTTCCCAGCGCTCTGCAATGCGAGTGATAGGTGTGGAGTCTGGGCCAGCCCCCAGCGTCCTCCATCCATTGTGAGGGTGGGAAGAGGTGGGTGCATGAACGTGGCCCCCACTCTGCTTTTCTGCCACTAACAGGACTAACAGCCCCATGGCTAGCAGAAGATGGTGGGAATGGGGGACACAGCCTGCCCATTGAACTTTTTCTGAGGAGTGGGAAAGACCTCACCTTGGGTTTGAGTCCAGGATTCCCATTAAAGTTCCCAGAAGGGGGGACATGCAGTTCTACCTCTGCCATGCCCAGTGTCTGGCTCCAAGGGTTTTCTTTCAGGACTTTCTTCACTTGGGGTAGGGCTACTGCCCTCACATCTGCCCCTGAGAGGGATGCAAATATAGCTCCTGACCAGGGTCCCTCCCAGCCCTTTAGAGGGGTGAGGCCACAGCTCCTTCAGCCCTCAGGAGAGGTGCAGCAAACCCTTCCACCTGCCAGAGGCCCATCCCCCGACCCCCAGACCCATGCCTTGCAGAGCTGGAGGAGGCACCCCTAACTGTGAAGAGTGACATGGGCGCCGTCGTGCGGGTCATGCGGCTGCCGGACTCAGGGCTGGAGATCCGAGACCGCATGTGGCTCAAGATCACCATCGCCAACGCCGTCATAGGTGAGTGTGGAGGCTGGGAGGGCAGGCGGGTGAGGCAGGGCCTGGGCTGGCCAGGGCCCGGGCTAGCCCTGAGTGCCGCCGGGTGCCACAGGGGCGGACGTGGTGGACTGGCTCTATGCCCACGTGGAGGGCTTCAAGGAGCGGCGTGAGGCGAGGAGGTACGCCAGCACCATGCTGAAGCACGGCTTTCTGCGGCACACCGTCAACAAGGTCACTTTCTCGGAGCAGTGCTACTACGTCTTCGGGGACCTGTGCACCAGTGAGTGGGGCCAGGGATTGGGGGACGTGGAGAGCCACAGGGCAAGGAGATGCCTGCTCCCCACTCATCCAGTGTACCCACTACTCCTCTCCCTGCCAGATCTCGCAGCCCTAAACCTCAACAATGGCTCCAGTGGGGCCTCAGATCAAGATACGCTGGCCCCGCTGCCCCACCCAGCTGCCCCTTGGCCGCTGGGCCAGGCCTTCCCCTATCAGTACCCAGGGCCTCCACCTTGCTTCCCACCTGCCTACCAGGACCCTGGCTTCAGCTATGGCAGCGGCAGTGCTGGTAGTCAGCAGAGTGAAGGTGAGACCCCTGTCTGGCCCCTCACTGCCCCCTTGCTGCCCCCGCCGCCTGGCTCTGCCCCTGCCTGTCCCCGCTCCCCTCTGATTCCTGCAGCTCTATGCTTGAACCATGGGCAGGATCTTTTTGGATGGGGCAAGGACCAGGATATCTGGGAAGTGTGGGTCTCTTGAGGCCATAGTCAGTATGTGAGGGGCAGGGCAAGGAAGTGTCTGAGGCAGGAACAGCCAGCTCACCCTCTTAACCTCTCTGGATGGTAGACTAGGAGGAGCCTGAAGGAACAGGGCACATTAGGGCTGGTGGTCCAGGTGTGGGGGCGGGCAGATGGGAGGGCAGTGGGAGTGGCTTAGGAACCACACAGGTAAGGGTGGCTGGAAATAGCAAAGGACTTCAAACATGAGCAGGCCCTCATTTGGGGGACAGTCCCTCATTAGCCACTGTCTAGGCCAGCCCAAGGACACAGTGGTGAAGACAGCGCCCTGCCTGTGGCGTGTGCAGCCTGGTGAGGAGCGCTAGACGCTGGGAAGCCAGGGAGCCAGACAGTGGAGGGGACAGACAAGAGCCTGCTGAAGCTGAGGGCTGAAGCCGAGTGGGGGACCAGGGAGCCGAGGTGACCTGGAGGCCTGGGGAAGAGGGGAGGAGTGACTCAGGAAGCTGGGGGGCAGCCTCAGAGAGCTGGGATAGATGGGTGGTCGTGCCCAGTGCTGTGGTGCCCAGGGGCGGCCCTGGTGTGTAACTCTGCTATCCCTTGTTTTGTGCTGAGCAAGCGTTAGACTGAAGCTCTAGAGGAGAGGACCCTCAGGGCCGGTAAGCCAGGGGCCCTCTCGGCGTCCCTGTCGGCGTGACCCTGGCCACCCATGTCCTCAGAGTCCCTCCCCTGGGAGTCTGCTGAGCGAGGCGGGGCATAGCTGGCCAGGGCCCTGGGGGGTAGGGAAATGGGTGGGGGCAGCAGGAGGGCCATCGGGTATTCTAGAACCTCAACCGTGACTCAGTTTCTCAGCTCGGGTGGGGCTGGGGTGAGGCATGGGGCGCTGCATGGCCCCTGGAACATCTCTGCTGCCCGCTCTGCTCTCCACCCTCGCTGACTACTCCCTTGCCTCCCCTGGGTGGGTCCCTTCCTTGGTCTCTGCATGGCTGGGACCCCCTCCTCAGTGTGCACTCCACCTGGATCCTGTGGGCAGGCTGGACGTGTTGGGCCTGACCCTAATGGGCTGTCTCTGCTCCTCCGTTCCCAGGAAGCAAGAGCAGCGGGTCTACCCGAAGCGCCGGTGGGAGCAGCCGTCGGGCCTTGGGGCGTGAGCAGGAGCGCCGGGCGGCTGGTGCGGGAGGCAGTGGCAGTGAGCTTGACCCCACAGCACTGAGTGGGGCGGGCAGCTGGCGGGAACGCCCGGCCAGCCAGCTCAGCCATGGCAGCAGCCTCCGCAGCCAGGCTTCAGCGGTTGCACCTGGGCTGCCTCCCCTGTGCCCTGTGGCCAAGGCGTACGCAGCGGTGGGCGGGCCCCCTGGGGGCCCACCTGTGCGGGAGCTGGCATCTGTGCCCCCTGAGCTCACAGGCAGCCGCCAGTCCTTCCAAAAGGCCATGGGAAACCCCTGCGAATTCTTCGTTGACATCATGTGACCAGCGGAGAAAGTGCCTTCAGCCCTGGCCCAGTAGAGGGCGTGGTGGGCCCCATGCGTGGATCATCAGCGAGCCCACCTGCCGTGGTGGGCCACCCACCTGGGGCTGTGTGTGTGGGCTTGCCTTAGTGACAGCTGGGCCTCAGATGGTCCCTGTGTATCCAGCAGAGGACACAGGGTGGGCAGGCCTGGCCAGGGGTAGGGGCAGGGAGTGTAGGGAGACACTATGGTCTGAGCTTGGTGCCCCATCGGCTCCTGGGTCTCTTCCTGTAGCTGGGGTGCTGTTCTGACTCCACAGACTTTAGCCAGAGCTGGGAGGCAACCCCAACTCAGGCTCCCATTGGTGTGACCCATCCACTGGCCTCCCTTCATCTGGAGGCGCCCTTTCCCCAGGAGGAAGAAGACCCCCTCAGTCCTCATGCAGCACAGGCCCCTCCTTGTTCTGTCCACTTGACCCAGGCCCAGGGTCCTCTTGTCGTAGGAATCTGAGCTCACCTGTGGTTGCCCAGGGCAAGGATCTAATTTATTTATTTATTACCTGGCCCCCCTGCACTCTGGAGAGCGGCCAGCAGCCCGCTGGGAAGAACAGGCTTGCACCTTCTGCCTGCCCCGCCCCCACCCTGGGGCACAGATGCGGGGCACACAGAAAGTAAGTGGAGAGGAAAGGAAGAGCCAGCCCAGCCTGGTGTGTGTAGGGGGGCATGGGTGAGGAGACACGGCTGGGCCGGGATGGAGAGGGGACATGACTGAGGGGCAGGGGCCCACTCACCCACTACCCTTCTCCCACCCCTGCCTGCACAGGCTGCGCTGTAGATACTGTATCAAAGTACAAGAGTCTGGATAGTTAATATATAGCTGCTCCATGTAAATGCTGCTGCCCTGTAAATGCTATTTTAAACACTAAAAAAAGCGTTTAATTTTATGGGATTGATGTGTGGCTGTGTCCCTTCTTCCTCTGCCTGTTGTAGGGCCCTGGGTACCACCCTCAGGGACGGAGAGAACTGACCCAGGCAGCCCGCTGTGCTCTGTCCCAGGTGCTGGCTGCTGCTGGGGTCCTAGCGGGTAGCTGTCAGTGGTGCTGGCTTCTAGCTTCAGGGGTCCCAGTGGCTGGCGCTGGCCACGGTGCTGACCCCCACTGCCTGGGCTCTGTCCAAGGTGCTGGTGGCTGTCTATCCCTGTTCTACTTGCTAGGGTCTCAGGAGAAGGAACGTGGTACCGTTCCCCTCTGAGTGGTGCCTGCCCTGGGACCCCTGGTGGTGGGCAGGCCGGTGGAGGGGCTGCACCAGGCTGGTGGCTGGTTTCACTGGCTTCCCTCTCATGTGATGCCCCGGATCAGGTGTAAGCTGGTTGTGTCCAAGTGAGGTTCCCAGCTCGGGTCTCAAATAGTCCAGCCAGAAGCTTCCCATTGAGGGCCACTCTCAGAGTTTCAGGGCTCCAGGACTCTGTAGGGTCACATGGGCTTCCATCAGAATGTGAGCCGGGGCCACTCACTCTGTAGAGACAGACAGACAGACAGAGACTGACTTGTGGGGCCCAGGTCCCTTGCACACAGTGTTAGACCTGGGGTCAGAGTTGTGGGGTCAAGGTCAGAAGTTGCATTTGGGTTAGAACTTAGGGCTGAGGAGGGGGGGGTCCCAGAATCAGGGCATGGGCTGGGGTTTAGGGCTTGGTGATCTCTATTGGGCTGGGGTGGCTGGGGGTGAGTTCACAGGACCAGGAGTCACTAACTCCTGGTTTCCTTGAGTCTCCCTTGCAACCCCAGACCCCTCTCCCAGGAAGAACTCGGGGGTGTTGAGTGCTGGACACCATAGCAGCAAGTAGCACTTGGGCAGGTGGACAGCAGCCAGGATGCCCAGAACGCAGAGAAGGATGGCGCTCATCTGCACAGCGGGCTGATAGGCCATGTGCACGTTAGCAAGGATGGGTACAAAGGAGATCCAGATGATGAAGTAGGCCAGCATGGCAAAGGTGAGCCCTCGCGCGCGGTTGTAGCGGCCAGGCCTGCTCTGCACCAGGAAGGTGCCCAGAAAGCACAGGAAAGCCAGGGTGGCGTTGACGGTGTGCACCAAGCCGAAGCCAATCCAGGAGCGCACATGGCAGTGTATCAGTACCTCCTGGGGCAGCACCCACCAGTTGGTGACCACCTCAGGGGGGAAGGCCACCAGGTACCAGGCACACAGGGCGGCCTCAGCCAAAACTGCCAACAGTACCACGAGCCAGGCCCCCAGGCCTCGAAAGTGGCCCTGCAGCCGCTCCAGCCAGCTTTGCGGCAGCTCTGACTCCACAAATGTCTCGGCTGCCTGCAGGAAGAGCGTGCTCAGGCAGCCTGTCAGTGGCAGGTGACAGAGAGGCTGCTGTGCGAAGCAGCTGGTGGGGCTGGGCCACCCAGGGAACAAGAGCACACTGAGGCAGACCAGGCCCAGGCAGGCCAGGCCAAAGCAGGCCAGTGGCCCGCCGGAGGCCTGCACCATGGGGCTGTCCCAGTGGCAGACAAACAGCCCGAAGGTGGCCAGCACCAGGCCCAGCACCAGGCCCAGCAGCACTAGCAATCCCAGCGTGGCTGGCTCCCCCCACGCCAGGAACTTGGGCGTCCGGAGGAAGCAGCGCGTGCTTCGGTCAGGGGACCACTCTTTGAGGTCACACGAGAGGCAGAAGAGGTCATCTGCAGGATAGGGAGGAGGACGACGAGAGGTTCTGGTCTGATGGGCCTGGCCTCACCCCTCCACGGGCTGGGGGACACTGGGGTGGGGACAGACTGGGATCCCTAGGTTGCATGTGCCCACCAGTCCCCAGCAGTATGGAGGCCCAGCTCGCCAGGCTGTGCTGCCTGGCTCACCTGTGCTGCTCCTGTAGGTACCAGCCTTGCAGTCCGTGCAGTCATAGCAGCAGGAGTGGGAGCCCTTCACCCGGCGCACCTGGCCGTCCGCACACTGCCGCGAGCACTGGGACACCGGCTCCTGGAGTGGGGGGGCAGCTTCAGCTCATCAGCCGCTGCGACTCCCCCCCACCCCGCCCCACCTAACTGGCAGGAGGTGTGTCCCATTAGTGTCCACCAGGCAGGAGTTGTGGGTGAGGGTGCAGACTTGAGTGCCTGCTGTACTCTGCTCCCCTGGCAGCAGGAGTGTTATGCCCCAGGCAGCCTGAGACCACATGGAGGGGACCCATGATCCTGACTTACCTGGTGGTTTGGCAAATGCCACTGGATCAGGGAGCGGTTGAGCTGGAGCTGGCCATCAAAGGTGCCCACAGTGTGCATCGTGAGAACCTGGCCCTGCCACCGCCACTGCTTCAGGTCGTAATTCATGTCCACATTCCCAGTGGCGTCAAAGGCCATCTCCATGTCTCGGGCCCAGAAGCTCGTGTTGTACATCTTCTCCAGGAGCTGGCCAGGGACCAGGAGATGCTTTAGTGGAACCCAGAACCACCCTCGTCCCCCAGACTTCTTGTTCGGGCCCTGCTTCTGGTGGCTCTGTGTGCGTAGATGGGGATGGGGAGAACCTGTGGGCCTGCCTCACCTGCCAGGGCTGCACTGGTTTGTGCACAGGACACCCTGAAGCCTGGCAGTGCAGCGTGTTGTGGAGTGCCTGGGCCACGCTGTACACAGCTGCATAGGCAGCGAAGGTCTGGTGGTGCAGCAGCCCAGTCGACAGGTTCTGCATCGTGATGAGGTCGCACTGCGGGCAGCGTGGCCCCACCACTTCCTCCTCCAGATTCTGGTGCACAGTATCCAGTGAGGCACAGAAGGCTGGGTCGGAGGCCAAGGCCAGGCACCTGGCCACATAGTCCGAGAACTCAGGTAACTGGGTGCCTCGCATCAGGAAGCCAAGAACAGTGCCCACCTTTTCCATGCCAGGCAGTGTGGTGAGCAGCTCCGAGGCCAGCCAGGCCTCACTTGCCACCCACACCTTTGGTGTGAGCTGGCTGTGGATACAGTGGCTGAAGAAGGTGCGGGCGGCTCGAGCGGAGGAGAATACCACCACCACCTGCACATTGCTCTGGTTTACAATCTCTAGCAGCTTCCCCATTGGGCCCGTGAGTGGTTTGTGGTCACGAGGCAGTGGGACTATGCCCTCATGAGCAATGCAGATGCCTTGGGTGCTGGCCAGGTTGGAGAAGATGCTCAGGCCCTGACGACCATACTCATCGTCACTGCCCATGGCCACAACCCAGTTCCAGCTGAAGAGCAGCAGAAGCTCCACGATGGCCCGCAGCTGCACTCGGTCACTGGGCACCGTGCGGAAGAAGGATGGGAACGTCTCTCGGTCACTCAGCCGGTCTGTGCTGGCGCCGTAGCTGACCTGCAGGTCAAGAGCCTCTGTCAGGGGCTGCTGTGTAGGGTGGGGCAGAATGGGTTGGGGTGGGGTGGTCGAGCTGGGCAGTGGGCAAACCTGGGGCATGAGGAAGAAGCCGAAGAACTTGCCAGTGACAAGGGCGAGCTCAGAGGAGTGGGGCCCAATGACAGCCACCACACGAGGCTGGTACTGTGTGTAGTTGCAGTAGGCAGCAATGTCATGGCTGCCTGCCTTGGCCAGGAACACCAAGCTGGGCTTCATGGCTGTCATGGGTTCTGCGCACGTATCTAAGAGGTCATAGCCCAGACGCAGCCCCGGAAGCAACCGTGACCCATTGTTGATCTCCTCCACTGCCATCTTCACGGCCAGCGCCCAAAGCAGGCCGAGGCCAGAGAACCTGGGGCAAAAGGGGCTGAGAGTGCTGGACCGGGAGGGTCTCTGCTGGTTACTCAAGGCCAGCCTTGAACTTGAACTCCATCCTGGTCCTTGTCCCACCCCACACTGGCCTGGCTTCCCAGCCTGGTCCCTACCCTACCCAGTTCTATTCCTAGCAGCCCAGGCCTCCTGCCCCTTACCTCTTGCATGTGGTGCTCTCTGGCCTTATTCTGTTCTCAAGGTCAGAGCCCTCAGCCGAGGTCATGGGGAAGAGCCCACCCAGCATATAGTCACCTTGCATTCTGAGCAGGCGAGAGAGACACATAGGGGCCCCTGCTGTGAAGCCCAGGATTGCTGCCAGACTGAGGCTCAATGGAGTTAGACCAGGCATATTGGAAGGCAACTTCCAGCAGGAATGGTGTTGGGGACCTCAGAGGCCAGATATAGGGAGTTAGCAGCATATTTGCTTAACAAAACCTTTGCTATTCCCACCTGTGATGCCCCTGGGCCTCTGAGGCCGGGGTGGTGGCAGAGGAATTTTCATACTGTCCCAGCTGACCCTACTGCAGGTTTGCACACAACAGGGCTTCATTCTGAGGCCACCAATACCAGGAGACTGGAGCAGGTGGGCTCTGAGTGCCAGCTGTCCCCAGTCCTAGAGCGACCCAACAGACCACAGGGGGCCTAAGAAGAAGAGCAATGGGGTGCCTCAGAAAGGGGTCCAGGGGTCTCCACTTGTTGGAGGGGCTCAGATGTGTTCACTGGGGGTCTCTGGCAGTCTCAAGGGTGCCTCCAGTCTTCGCCTAGCAGAAGTCATACTCTCTTTACTTGGGGAGCAGCCAGGGTGGCCTCATCTCCACATCAAGCACCTGGCCTCTCTGGGGGGCAATTTCAGAGTGGTGGGTGGTTGGTGACAGTAGGATGGGAGAGCATGAAGAGGGGGTTCACCTGAGCATGGCATGCCTGGACCATGGGGCTTACATGCTGGGCTGTGGCCTGTCATGGCAGGTGCATCTATGGGGTGGGTACTTGCTTGCTGGCTGTGGCAGGTAGGGGCCATTTCTTCTGGGGACAGCTCACAGCTGGACCTGAGGAAGGACCCATGCAAATCACAGGGGAAAGGCCACAACCAAATGGGCTGACACAGGTGTGTGTGCTTGTGCGTGGCTGGAAGAGCTTCACTGAGCACACGTGCCAGCATGCGCATTCTCGTGTGTATGCACGCCTCAGCAAGGCAGGCCCTCCCACTGGGTGAGGAGCCCGGCAGCTCCACCAAACTTCCGGACACCACCCTCCTTGCCTGGGCCTGGGGAGCGAGCCCTCCCTGACACAACACACTGGAGCCCGTGGTGGATATGCACTGGCCTTGAGCATAGGAGAACTCTAAAGGCATAGCCGGCAGAGCTTCGAGGGTGAATGATGAAGGGACCCTGCTAAGGTAGAGGAGGAATCCTGCTGGATCTCCACTCTGACCAGCTCCAGCACACACTGGTGGGGCTGGTCTAGATGCCTCCCTTCATTATATACCAGTCTACCCTATTATGTTTGAATCAGTACACATGTACCCCCCCCCATAAATCACTGTACACACACAGTTGTACACATGTACACACACATCCTTTCGGGGTGGGGAACACTCATCTAGGACACCTCCAGGGTCGTCCACCACCAGGCTTCTTTCACCTGTCTCTCGACCCCCTTCTTGGATGGCAGGTACCTGCACATCTCAACACTTTCATCTGCAGAATGAACAGGCCCAGTAAATGCGATTTATTCCTACTGGAAAAGTCCCCAGGCATAACACTTCCCCAAAGTCCATCAGAAGGGTCACGGGTACATGTCTCCTTTACACACACCACTCCTGTGGCCCTGCACCCTGTGGGTAGGCAGAGATGGCAGGAGATCCAGCCCACCTACCTGCCTAAGGACAGTAGAGCAGGAACTGCTGAGCACTGTGCTGGGGGCAGCAAAGTGAAGGGTAGGGAATGTAGTGTCTCAGGAACCCAGGGCAAGGCGATGCCTTAGCTCTGTAGTATGTGGCTCCCTGGTGACCTTGGGGTCATGCAGACCACAGGCAGCTGCCAAGGGAGGTGCCTGCTGTGCCCTTGGAACTGATGCATCTGCAGAGGGCGTGGAAGGAGCTTCAGTGACAGCTGTTACTGTGGGTCCTGGGTCTGACAGAGAACAGCTCACAGGGCCAAGTTGTCCCCTCCTTGCCCTGGCAATGGGCAGCCTAGAAGGCTTCACACCTGGGCAGACATAGGAGCTGCTCTGTACCTGAGGCAGGCATAGGAGGGAGACACATCTGGGGTGCCAGCAAGGGATTCTCTGAGCCCCTGTGACCATCACCTTCACTTCACAGAGATGGGTAGGTGGAGGACTGTTGGGCTGTGGCGGTGGTCATCTTCCCCAACAACTTTGCCTCCTCCTTCCACCTCCAGTTCTGGCTGCCTTTCTGCTCAGAGGATCTCTGTGAGCCTGGCCGTATAGAGGTCTTCTGGGAATCTCAGGCAGTGTGGGATGGCCACAGCCTGACCAGGACGGCATGGGAGCAGACGGCCAGCACCTGGTTTTCCACCGGTCTACCCTGGAATGAAGGAAGGCAGCTGGGAGGAACCCATACAGCCTCCTGCCTCCACTGCACTAGGGGAGGTCCAGCATCGTGTGATCTGCATAGAGCTTCTGGGTGATGTCATAGACACGCTCAAGGAAGGGCAGCGCCTCCTCCAGCATCACCACAGCCTGCTCGGGAGGCCCCACCTTCATGGCCTCCAGGAAGACTTTGCGCGTGGGCAGAGCACAAAAGGCCATGGTGACGGCCTGACGCACAACCCAAGGGTGGTAGGCAGCCAGCGAGGCATTGTAGGAATCGGTGCAGAGCGTGGAGGTGCGGGCATTTTCGGGGCTGGCACGCAGCCCCTCCAAGAAGAGCTGTAGCCAGCGCAGGGCACGGTGTAGCCGCAGCACGGTGCGACAGCCCGACTCAGGATGGTGTCCACGCCGATGCAGGTCCACCAGCTGATGTTCCTCTTCGTAGGCCACCATGGACTGCAGGCTGGCGTACTGTTCACCCTGTGGGCTGCTGCGCAGCCGCTCCATAATCTGCAGCTTCGCCACCACATCCTTGGAGATGAACATGAAGATGGCACCCAGGCTGTTCAGAAACCTGCTCAAGGGAAAGCTGGATTCAGTCTGTGCCTCCTATGGCTGATGCCCAGGGCTGTGAGGGCTGGGACTCTGCCCCTGGCCCCTCCTCCCTTGGTGGTCCTTCTAAGGAAAGCAGTGCCGCCAGCCGTCGTACCAGTGCACAGCTCTGTCCCCAGCAAGCAGGCACTAGTCTGCTGCTTACAAGCACCTGCAGGAATGCCGGGATGAGAGAAGGAGACCGTTGGACAGGAAAGCTCCCCCATCACCTGTCCCACTTGGGCACATACTTTACCAGCCCCTGCCAGCCACTGAGGTAGTGGTCCATAAGGATTTCTTCTTTCTCATTGAGGCACTGCTTGAAATTAGCCATTACGACTTTCAGGTTGAAGTCGGTTTCTGGATCATCCATTTTTCAAAAGGAACTGAAACACACATGAAGGTGGTTCCAGATCAGCTTCTGTAATACTTCCCCTCGCTCCCCAGTAGGAAAGGGCAAGGAAGAAAAGAGCTTGGATTATACTTTGGGCATGTTGCTAGGAGAGGTTAATCCTTAATCCTTACAGAGGGACATCAAGCTTGGAAAGGTGGGGGGAGGGACGGTGAAAGAGAGGAAGACACTCAACCAGGTGGACTGACACAGTAACTGCAGGAAGGAGCTTGAGGGTGTTGGAGGTTTTGAGGATGGCACAAGGGAGGCTGAAGTTCAAGTCTGGTGTTCACTGGGTTGCTATGTGTTGTACTCAGCAGGACCTAACAACAATACCCAGAAACCTGTCATGGTGTCTTCCCACCTAGAACAGGCTTCTTTCCCAGGCTGGCTCCTCTGCTTTCACATATTCCATGCCACCTGCCCCTGCCACCTGTCTCAGCCTCAAGGCTTTTGCCTGCTGTGTTTTTGCCCAGAACTCTCATCCACAGATATCCATTTGGGTGAGGCTGTCCCTGATCACCTGCTCAATGCAGAAGACCATGCAAGGCTTCCTCAGTCTCCCTGCTGGGTTTCAAGATATTGTGCTCTGTCCCGAATAAGTGCTTACTGACCATCTGTTTCTCACTAGAGTGTATGTCTGATTTCCCTGTTAGAAGAACACTTACTGAGTCCCTAACAGAACCAGCACTGATTTAGGGTCTTAAGACCCTTTGTGAGCAGGTGAACCCTGTTCTCTTGAGGCTACATTCTAGTGGGAAGGATAGAAAACAAGCAGTAAATATAGATAATGTGGCATATGAAGTGGTGAACGTGAAGGAAGGAGGTCTAAGGGATCCAGGTGGGAGGTATGAAGGATGGCTGAGCAGCATTCCTCCTTCCAGCAATTGGCACTCAGGCCCTGCAGGTCCCACGGGTTCAGCTGCATGCCTGGCTCTGGGTGGAGCCCCAAACGGTGAGTGTAGAGTCTTTTAGAGGTGAGCTTACTTTATCTTCAGGTGGAGGGGAAAGGTTGTATCTGGGATCAGGAAGATAGTGCTGGAGACTTTAAGCAGCAACCCTGTCAGGGCCCCAGTTTTTTGCCAGATGGTCTCTGAGGTTCCAGGACTCCTTCCTGGTCCCTGAAAGTCCTGTCACTGGGCCTTCCTGCTTAGGATGCGAGCCAGCAGCTCATAAGGAGCTGCCGGTGAGTCTTTTAGAGCTGTCAGTCTGCAACAGGAAAGGCAGGCAGTCTGCCAGCTCCAGGAAGGAGACTGCAGAGGCCCTGTCAGAGCTTTCCAAGGAAAAGCCACAGCCTCAAGGTCAGGACTGAGTAGTCAGCCTAGGCACAGGGGCTTTGTGACAGAGCAGACTGGAGTCCTGACAGGAAAGCAGGCAACCTGGCACCTAGGCTTGTGCGTGGGAGCAGGGCCAAGCAGTTTGGGTCCCTGTCTTTGCATCCTGCAAATCTCTTTTGGGAAGGGAGCTGTGGAGGTACCTCGCTGGGGTCTGTAACTTGAAAGAGAGTGGTGTCAGGGCCCGAGGATGGTTTCGGTCTAGGTGAGGACCTCGGGATGGGGTGGGAGGCTTAGAGTAGTGATGAGAGGCCCCATCTTGGAAACCAGGACTTACTTAGGTGATCACCCCGCGACAGCCCTTTGAGAGGGTGTCTCCTCCCAGCTTGCATGTCTGGGATTCCAAAAGCTGCCCTTTAGACCCGCACCCCGTTCTTTCGAGTCTCCACACCTGCCTCGATCGGCTTGACCGCGTCCGGCCCGTCCCATCCCGCCGAGCCCGGGAACCCCGCTCACCTCCACTGCGGTCCCAGCTGTCTGAGACGTCCAGTTCCGCCCCGCCCGCCCCAGTTGCCCCGCTCACTTCTGGGCGTCTGTCACCTCCCACACAATTGGTTGTGAGGCGCCCAATCAGGAAGCCCGAAGCACCCGCGTTTCCGTCGAGCGGACAAGAAGGCGGAGCTATTGGGTTCGCGCCTGCGCGGTGAGCAGAGGCACGGAGGGCTCCAGCTCAAACGAGCGGTCCCGGCGACCTGTGGTCCCCGTGTGCTTGTGTTGAAGTTTCTTTGGGACCGACGTAGCCAGCTCAGTGAACGAGGAGGAGCGGCACTCACGTTTCTCTTAGGGAACTGATGCCCACGGCGCTCCTCACCGCTTCTAGGTCTCGGGTTTTTTTTTTACTGGCTAAAGCCCCTGCGAGACCCCAAAGACGGAACGGGGCCTTAAGTGCAGCGTGTCGGCCTGACCCAACCCTGCGCGTGCTCCGAGCCTGGGAGTTCGCCTGGTCAGGATGCCAGAGATCAGAGTGACTCCTCTGGGTAAGCTTGAATCCAGCAAGAGGGGCTGGAGTAGATGGGGACTCGAATGGGGCGGACATTTGTCCCCTTCTTCTGTTCTCACTCTTCATCTTCACCACATTTCGAAGGGTTAGAGACACTCATGTGTATTTTAAAGCTTTTGTTGCTGGCTCACAGAATGGTTCAGTGACTTTTTCAAAGCCCAAGGTTATCAAGTTTGAAGCTGGCAGTATTCTCGCTCTCTGTGTTACTTCTGATGGGTCCCAACTTCTAGAGTCCTTTCTTAGATGGCGCCTCATTGGACTCATGATTGTGCTGTTAAGGGGTTGGGGCTGCATTGCACTTCTTCTGTTTTGGGGAGGCCAGTTGGCAGTCACTTTACCAAAGTGTGGGCCGGGGTCCTGATCGCTCTGCTTAGCTGTTCCCGTAGATGCAGGACCTGGAGAGAGTGGTGAAGGGACTGGCTTTAGACTTGATTCCTGGCTTGCTAGTACTGTGTGATATCAATTCTTCATCTTTTAGACCTGCTCTGACAGTGAGGTGGGTGTGAGCATATCTGATCACAGGAGGCTGTCAAGTAAAGTGCTTGGCACAGAGTTGATCTTCAGCAGATGCTGCAGCATTCCTGGGAGTGGTTATGGGAGACCATTCAGAAACCCCCAACGTCCCATGACCTTACAGTCATTTCATCTGTCAGCGTGTTAACTACCCTTGCCTGTCAACCAGTTCTTCAAGTCTTCTTTGTCCACTTCACTTCTGGCTGGCCTTCCACTCCCTTACTCCGTCTTACCGCTCTGCTCATGCAGAGATCATCTGTGGCCACTTATTTGCCCAGTGTTGTTGTTGTTAAGTGCCATCGAGTCGTAAAGGAGTCTTAGGGACCCTATGAACGAAAAACATCAACAGTTGTATAACTTTCATCTTTTCTCCCAAGTTCATAGAGTTTCCAGAGGCAAGCTATCCCAGAAGTGGATGCCACTCCTGCTTCCAGGCTTGCTTTAATTGGGAAGCTCCACCAAGTACAGTCCACCATGCGTAACCATTGTCACATTTGACACATCAGTATCACAGTGTTCAGCATCACAGCAACCTCGAGTTATCTCCGTACAGCAAATGGACAGACCAGTGCTTTACCACTTAGAAGAATGTTTGACAAAAAACAATTAAAACCAGGCCTGAGGGCTGTAGATTAAAATCACCCACTTTTGGCTTGGTAGCATCACTTTTCTACTTGGCCAACTAGCTCTCTTTGTGTTGTTGTTGTTGTTATTATGTGCTGTTGAGTCATAGACGACTCATTGCGACCCTATGAACGAAAGACCTGAACACTTGTATAATTTTCAATACAGCAATAAAAAAGTAGCTTTATGTTTTTGTTCAAAATCAGAAATTACACATGCTTATTTTTTTCATTCTCTGATAGGAGTTCGTGGATGGTGCAAATGTTAATGTGCTCACTTGATAAATACAAGTTTGGAGGTTTGATGCTACCCAGAGGTAGAAATAAGAAAAGCCTATTGATCTAAAAAAAAAAAAAATTCAGCCATTGAAATTCCAGTGGAGCACAGTTCTGCTCCGACACACATGTGGTTGCCATGAGTCAGAACTGATGCTGTGGCCCCTGGTTTTAACAGTGCTAAGCAAGGGGTCCCAGAGCAGCTCTGCGTGTCCACAGTCTAGAACCTGCCGCCTTTTCTAGACAGTGTGTCAGGGGCATCTTATGGGTCTGTTCCCACCCCTGTGAACACTCCCGGCCCATACACAGAGTCTGGCTCCACACCTTCTCAGTGCTGCAGTTGTCAGCAGAGCTACAAATGAGCGTCTTGGCCCTCAGGTGGAGTGCTGTTGGCTTAGTGGTAAGGCATTGCATTACCAACCCAAAACCATGTGGTTCGAATTCACCAGGAGAAAGATGGGCACTCTCCTCTCATACAGTTTATTGCCTCTGATTATTCACTGGAACGTCACTTACGAGTTGGTTCCAGTGACAAAGTGTACACCTGTCCTTCCACAGTGTCACCGCCTCCTACAAGGTAGAATCCTCTTAGCCACTGTTACCCCTAGCCCTTCTCTGTCACTCTCCTAAGGTTTCCGTAAACTCCTCCTCCCCAGTTCCGACCTGTTCTCTCCCACTTGGGCCTCTTCCTATTGTCGACTCAGTCTCATAATCTTTTCTTATGGCTTCAGTTATTTCACATCTACACCGGATTTCCCCACTACCAAGGTCACTTCAAAACAAACCCTTCCACTCTCACATTTTTCCCTGTGTGAGTTAAAGCCGTCAGCCTCCAGACGGCAGGCTGACGCCCAGTATCCCTGGCATTTCCACTGCAGAGCCTGCACACTTGAGTCATCCTCTAGGGAAGACATGATAGGGGCAGTGCACTGGTGGTCCATGCCACCACAATCCCCGCACCATCTCCACTCTGTCACCTGTTACCATATGATGCCCCAGATAGAGTTCTTGTTTGATTTCATCATCACATTTTCTCATCACTCCTTCACCTGGAATGCAAGCTCCATGTGAACAGGAATTTGCTGCCTTCTTGTTTTCTCTTAACACGTTGCCGCACACTTAAATTGACAACCGTGCTTAGAAACACATTTTGCCGTCATTTGCAGCAACGTGTTAACTGAGTCCACCCTTCCTGTGTACCCTGAACTCTGCTTCTCTCAATTGTTGAGTTTGCTG